CTTTTACGTTGATGTTAACCAAACTGTGACCTGCTGGATTTATCTTTACAAGGTCCAGGGTAAGAGAGCAGCACCAAGCTCTTGTAAATGTTGCACCTGGCTATCTTCAGATTCTTGTGAGGTATCTGTGTGGATTCTAACAGAAAAGAAAGTTTGAACCCCATCCTGGCTCTCTCTAGTGAGGCGCTGGGTGCTGGGGTGGGCTCCTGGCTTTGGTGGAACTGCCCCACTGACATCTGGACTCAGGAATGTCTCTGGGGCAATCAGGATTGTCAGGGGCATGAGGGGTGTTTGCTATTGCGCATGTGCCAGCCTCTTCCGGAACTGAGGAAGCCACCAGCCTGACCTGCTTCCTACTGCATCCAAAGCAAGGAGTCAGAATGAAGGCAAATAAAATATATATATATACACACACACCAGACCATCCTGTTGATGGTGATGCATGATGTCACCCACTGGCAAGGCAAGGTGGCTTACTTCAATATTAACTTAGTTATAGTAATCCTAATAATTAAAGAATTACCCTGTATGAACTGGATTGGATTAACTTTCATCTAAATGGGTGTTTTGATAACTTGAACAGATCCGTCCCTTTTTTACTTGTCTCCCCTCCTCCTGTCCCCCGTTCTGCCCCTGTGTGGCTGCAGTGTTTTTAATTTCACCATCCACCTTCAAAGTAGGAGTAAGTAGTGCTTAAATCCAGGTTTGCTACCGTGGAGTTCCAATGGCCGGGTGAGGCTCTGGGTTTTTATAGCAGTCGCAGTCGGTTCCAGTTGAAGCCATAATTGGTATTTCGGCCTGAGAGCTGCTGTAAATCTCTGAGAAGGGAAGAGAAGGATGCTCTCATTTTGTTAGGCTGCCTCTCTTTCGGATGCAGAGTGCATCTTCCAGCTCTCTGGGCTAATTAAAATGCCATTACAGTACATGTGGTGCTACAATACAGTCTAGGGAGACTTCCAAAAATAGATCCTTGAGTGCAGACAAATTAGAGAGGAAATATGCACTGAGCATTTTCTCATAGGTTTAAAGAGAAATAATCCATTTGCTGTCCTAATTGCTTTCTTGTAAATGTTGAAAGATTTCCCCCCCCACTGTAAATTTCGAGTGAGCAGACAAATAAATAACGCATCCATGATAATTAGCGTTCTCATTACTAATATTGTAACTTGTCACACACGCTTGATATGCAAGTCAGGATGTTCCAGTGGCCTGTGCTTAACGGTCAGGGGTGGAGGTTTTTTATTCCTCAGCCAGCCTGCTTTAGCTGCCTGGTATCCCAAGGTTCCAAGGGCAGTGCATGATCTGGTTTTTAATTCAGCCAAACGCTCGAGCAGAGCCACCCACGGACCCTCCCCAGATCCTGCCAGGAAGTAAGGCAGAGAAATCCTGTTTGCCCATGGTCCTTCCGCCCAGCCCAGCTCGGGTACTAAATGCAAGGTGCTTTTTATAGCGTGATACGCTGTGGGTACTGAGAGCAGGGGGAAAGAAACCCCACGTTCCTGTGCCTGGAAGAGATTAATGGAATTGCTGTGGGCTGACACGTGTAATGGAGACAGCACAGAACTGCTGAGCAGTGCCAGGACCAGCCAGGAGCTCTTGTGTGCTACAGCCTGGGCCTCTCTGTCAGCAGCCTGATGGAAAGGGATGAGGCTTGTGCTGGCTTGTAGAATCCCAGAATGATCTGGGGCCTCAGAGCTCATCCCGTTCCACCGCCTGTCACTGTCCCAGGCTGCTCCAAGCCCCATCCAGCGTGGCCTGGGACACTTCCAGGGATCCAGGGGCAGTCACAGCTGCTCTGGGCACCCTGTGCCAGGGCCTGCCCACCCTCTGAGTAAATCCCCTGCCTGCTCAGAAGCCCCTGATTGCTGTTGTGCAGTGAGGTGCTGTCCAGAATATTTATGAGCAAAGGAAACAGAAGTTGGTCGAGTGGTCTCAAACTCACAGCGTTAGCAGAAAACTGCTCATCCTGAAAAATATCTCTGGGCCACTCTGTTGTCTTCCCTCCATGGAGAACAGGCTGACACTGGCAAAACTAAGTTCTGCAGCCCTTCTGTCTCATTTTTTAAATCTTCTCTCTGAGGTTTCTCCTTGGTTGCCCACAATTCATCTTCAGGTGTTGAAACTAAAGCTCTGGCCACTGACGCTGCCATGTCCCCGAGGGATGACCTTGCCCGTGACCCTCTTGGCACATCCAGGAGGGAACTGGGATCCTCTGTATCCTCACTGAATGCAGAGTGCTTGGTTTTGGAAAATCTTCTGGCTTTTCCTTATTGTGGCCTTGCTTGGCCAGGTATTTCCCTTTAGTAGTTGTACTTTTTTTTATCATTATCACAGTGGGGAGGTTTTACTCCTTTGTCACTGCATCTCCCATCCTTTTTTTTAGTTTTAGTTCTGCATTTCAAGCTCCAAAGGGACAAATTTCAGTCTGTAATGCTGATTTTGTCTACCTCTTGCTCCCGCCTTTCTCTCTGTCTCTCCTAAAGTTTTGCTTCTACACCTCTGTAGAACTTCTTTACTCTGGGTGTCCTTTAAAGATAATTTTTAGTTGCTCATTGCTTTGCTCCAGGAATTCAGGTAGGCTGGGGTGATTTGCATCAGGTTGAAAGATCTGAATAAATGGAAAACCATTTAAGTAACCTCTTCGTTCCCAGTTCTGCCCTGCATTTTTAAGCTCATCAGAGTTGATTATAGTCAGGCTGCTTGCAGTTTTCTTTAAGACCTCATTGAATGTTCCAGCCTTCAATTTCTCTTCATTTCTTGTCTTTTTTAAGTGGAGAAGTTGTTTTTCCCTGTCTTCATCTGGTTTGGTTTTGCCCTGGATGGACTTGATGATTTCAGAGGTCATTTCCAATCTTGACAATTCTGCTTTTGACAATTCCAGTCTTGGTTCTGCTGCTTCATCTTTTCTGATGGTTTTTATCTGTCACGTTTCTGGTTTATTTTGGACTGAACTTATAAATATTACTCTTTGTTTTGCTATTTTCAACTTCTTTAAAACCTGCAAACTCAGCTACTTCCAAACCTGTCCTGGCTATATTTTCTGAATAACTTAAACAACTCTTTGGAACAGATTAAGATAAAAACCAAAGTGTTCAAGTTTCCATCAATGAATTATGGCTTCATCTTGTTAATTAATGAGTAGAAATGCCCATCTGGAAACTAAGCTACACGAAATGTTCCCTGACTCAAGCCATGAATCAGCCAGGCTGGTGTCTGCTATCCTCCAGGCTCCATGGACAGAGCACTTTGTTGCAGAGTTTTGGAGAAATCATCAGCCTGATTCATAGAGAACCAGTTTGAGAGGGATGTTTCCTTGCCAGTTCTGTTTAGTAGCTAAGGACCAATTTGGCCAGCAGAGAGCTGGGGGATATTTTGTAGCTTGTCTGGGCTGTCTCAGTATTCAAACCAGGGTTTGTGGCTTGTGAGGAGTGTCAAACCCTGATTGCATGGCTTGACCTCTTTGTGGAGGGCTCCAGCAGCTCCACATCCTTGTGCTTGAGGGAGGACTCCAAAGATTTAGAGCTTTATTTTTTGTTTTTTGGGTTTTTTTTTTTTTTTATTTTATTTTATGGAGCTTTATTTGGACAGCAAAGACAGGACCTTGGTCTTGGATAGCTTGGTTTTGCTTCAAGTGTTTCAGGTGTCAGTGCTTTAAAAGACGTTCCTAAATGTTCTGCTGTGGTTAATCTAATACTCATTTTGAAACAAAGATTGCAAAGCATTGGTTTGTGGGTATGGGATTTCTTACAATTAAACAAGTCTTAAAAAAAACCCCAAATTGACCTGAATTTGTTTCACAGAGCACCTGGGTGCTGCTACAGGGCTCTGTTTTGTCCATGGGTTCTTCTCCTATGAAGGAACATCTTTATCTGAAACTGCCCAGCAGAGAAGCTGAGAATCCTCTGCTCCCCAGGAAAACTGGGAATTCTCCTGGGCTGTGCTCTCCACTGACTCTGGAGCACCTGATGGCTTGATTATATTTAAAATAGTGATGTTTTGCTCTTCCCCTTCCATCTGGGTATGGTTCCACTGGAGGTGAACCCAGGCAAGACATGGAGAAGTCTCCAGCTGTGCTTTCTCTCCAGAAAAACAGAGAAAGCAGGGAGAAGAAAACAAATATTAACATTTTTCTGACACTGTCCTTCTCCTGAGAGAGATGGGGTGGCTTCTTTGATGTCTCCAGACAGGGTTTGGCTTGATCCTATCAGAGCTGCAGCACAGAAAGGGGTTGGAGGGGAATAGTGAGACAGACTGGCAAAGGTGGAACAAATAGGTTTGAGATAAATTTTCTGTATCCCAGGGTTCGTAATTACACTGAAAACATAATTTAGCATTTTTTGCTTTGGCTTTTCTGGGAGGAGAATGAGTGACTAGAAACTCAGGTGTGGCAGTCGCCAACACTGGTTGTTCTGTTTAACTCTACCTGGATGCAAGATACGATCTTGGAAATATTTTAAATAGGGAACTGCTTCAGCAAGATGGATTTGTGCATCTCATTTACAAAGTATGTTTTTAATGCCTTTCTGAAATCTAAACTTATGCAAAATGGGGCTTGTTATGCATGTCTCTGCATTTTAATCTCCTGCAGTGATTTGTCAGTTTTCCTTAACATCTCACTGGCATATTCCAGCCATTCCTCAAATTTGCTCCGTGGGGCTGTGTCTCTGTCTTAGTTCAGTTCCCGCAGCAAGGAAGGAGTCACAGTTTTCTCTGGTAAGGTTTGTGAGCTGACATGCCTATTTCCTCAGCCTGGGATCAGCACCAGTTGTGGACTTAAGGACCGGGAAACCCTGAGTGTAATTCGGGATAGAGTCTCCTTTATTTTCTGCTTTAGCTGTCCTGGGAATGTTCTCATTTCCATTGATTTGTGCTACTTGTGTTTCTGCTCTGCATCGATAATTGGTTGCTGATTTTTTTTTTTCTGCTTGGAATGGCTAAAAATAGCTCAGCTACCCAAAGTGTTGATGTGATTTTATTTTCTTTTTCCCTCCTCTTTCCAGATGGGCTTTCTGGCAGAGACCAGCCAGTGGAGCTGTTGAATCCACCTCGAGTGAACCACATGCCGAGCTCTGGTAAGGAAAAAACCTCCTATTAAACCTCATTCCTGTTCTGGGGGTGCAGGAATGCTCTGCAGCTCTGCCTTGTGAACAGGAGAGCAGAATGCAAATGCAGAGTGCTGGAACAGAGTCTGTTAGGACTTGCACACCTCTGCTTTCCCAGGCTGGGAGAGTGGGATTTGGGAATGGAGCACAGCAGCCCTGGGAGTCTTGCAGGGAGCTGAGGGGAGCCCAGCCTGGTGGGAGATGCTTGGTTTGCCTTAGAAAGGAGAGGACAGGAGAACAAAGCAACATCTGAAGGAGTCCCTTCCCAGCCCAGAAGGAGGTTTTGGAGCTGCTGCTCTCATTAGGGAGAAGGAACAGGAAGCCAAGGCCGGGCTGATCAAAGTGTGTCACGCTGGGCTCTGGGCTGTTTGCTGTTCTGCCTCTCCTAATGATCCTGCCACGGCCTCTCCTGGGGCTTGTCCTTCTGCTCCTCGTCCTGGCTGCTCCTTGCTGAGCTGGGAGAGCTCTTAGAGCTCAGGGCTGCAGCTCTACAAGTGATGGAAACCAAAGTTCTGCTCCCAGTACATGGAATTCTGGGGGAAACAATCTGCTGCTGGCTTTTATGTTTCCCCCTTCTCACTCCCTGGTACAAGCAGATATTTTTACCAGGGGTGACAGGATATAGCAAACATTATCTTCTCTGCAGGGAGCAGCTCAGATCTTCCAAACCCCCAACTTTCCCTTCTCTGTTACCTTCCAAAATGCCCTCAGGCCCTTTTCTATTAAGGATGAGATCTTGCAGAAGATCTGAGCACTTCTGGTAATGCCAGTTGGAAAAATGTAAACGAAGTTTATTCAAAACAACTTTGGTACACTGGGAGGGGGAGAAAAAAGTGGGCTGTGACCTAACCTAGATTTTTGTGGACTTGAATGCCTGTTTGGAGAAGGAAACCTTCAAGGAGGTAGAGTTGTTGCACTGGGGGGGGAAAAGGAAGAGATGGTTGTTTACCAGGCATGGGCATTTGGCTTTGGATTCTGAGAAATCCCTTTCCCCTCTGTGTGCTCCCAAACGTGTCTGTCAGGTAAGGGAGGTTCTATTTTCCTAACCCTCAGAGGGATTCTCATTTTAAAGTCCCTGTGGTAGCACAGGTCAACTTACAGGTTTTACTGTGCCCCTCAGTTGTGAGCCAGGCTGGGTTTTGTGGCTCTGTGGATCATAGGCCAGGATTGTGAAGGGGATGGGTTTGAATCTTCTAGCCTTTTATTTTGGGGTTGATTTTGTTTGCTGGTTAAGTTTAATGTTTCCTTTTGAGGTATTCAAAAGCACCAAAGGCTAGTGCTGTTTGAGAGCTTGGGGAACTTGATGGTAGAGTCTGTTCTGGCTGCTTTTCCCCAGGTGAAATGAGGCTGTTTGGTGGAGCCAAGCAGGAGTTATGGAGTTCTTGCTGTTTGGACTCCATTTTGAGTATTTTTAATAACTCACCTCTGTGCTTTTGGGAAAACAATGAGGCAGAGATCCCTGGGGAGCTGTGCTGGTGTGAAGTGGGTGGGATGAGAGGTGGGCAGCGCTGCTTCTCTGTCAAATGGTTCTCCCAGTAACTGAGCTATGGGAATGGAATTCAGGATGGGAGAGCTGGGGGTGCTCACCTGGAGAGGGGAAGGCTCCAGGGACACTTCAGAGCCCCTTGCAGGGCCTAAAGGGCTCCAGGAGAGCTGGAGAGGGACTGGGACAAGGGCTGGAGGGACAGGACACAGGGAATGGCTTCCCACTGGCAGAGGGCAGGGATGGGTGGGATATTGGGAAGGAATTGTTCCCTGGGAGGGTGGGCAGGCCCTGGCACAGGGTGCCCAGAGCAGCTGTGGCTGCCCCTGGATCCCTGGCAGTGTCCCAGGCCAGGTTGGACATTGGGGCTTGGAGCCACTTGGAACAGTGGAAGGTGTCCCTGCCCATGGCAGGGGTGGAATGGGATGATCTTAAGGATCCCTTCCCACTGAGCCCATTCTGGGATTGCCATATCTGGCTTTTATCATTCTTATCTTCAGGAATTTGCTGCAGATCTTTCTGAGAGAAGAAAGGAGCAGTAACACCAAGCATTGCTCTGGAAAAACAAGTTGTGTGTGGGATTAATGAGTGGTGTTCCAAGTCTCAGACATGACTGAAATAATGGTTAAAAACAGCATAAGGGAAAAAAATTGCTTGATTGCGTCTTGGGCTATTTTGTTTAAAACATTCTCCTGCCCTGGTCAGGGTAGGGTTGAATAAACTTGAGTGGTCGATGAGCGTTTATGCTGCATTTCTATTGCAGATAAAATCACTGCGGTGTGCTTGTAGGAAACCAAAATGTTTTCCTCTTCACCATGAACCAAGTGAAGAAGAGGTTTGACCCTTGTTAGTTGTTTTTCTCTGATGTGAAATGGTGAGGAAGTTCAAAAAATCCTCCCTGAAATGCAGAGCATTTCAATTCCAAACCAAGAAATATTTACAGCAATTTTATGAAATGGTTTTTTAGGAGTGAATTTGGTTCAATAGAACTGACTTCAGTCATCAGCAGTGAAAATTATTTCTGTCTTCTTTTCTGTATAAATTAAGGATTAATTGGAGGAAGAGAAACATTTTCACTTTTCAAAGACACATCACCCGTAACTGGCACGCCTGAATTTCTGAGGTGCTCGCAGAAGTACAACAAGGCAAAGCCCCCCAGCCCACCTCCTGCTCTGGGGTGCAATAACCATCTTCAGATAGCTCTGCCTGCTCTGCCTCGGGCTCCTGAGGATCACTCCCTTTGGCCCGGGGCAGGAAAAGGAATAAATTCACTTTACTGAGCAACCTTGCTTCCCTTAATTCTTTTTTATTTATTTTTTTTTTTTTTTAATAATCAGAGCCTGGTGAGGCCCTGGTACAGATTTCCCAGAGAAGCTGTGGCTGCCCCTGGATCCCTGGAAGTGTCCAAGGCCAGGCTGGACAGGGCTTGGAGCAGCCTGGGAGAGTGGAAGTTGTCCCTGCCTGTGGAAAGGAGCTGGAAAGAGATGAGGTCCCTTCCAACACAGAGCATTAAGTGGGAGATTTCAGCTCCCTGCTGCTTTTTCTCCATGGTAGATCTAGTTTTCCACTCTCACTTCCACAGTCATTCACAAAAATAATAGTGTTGATGTATGTAGGAATCAATGGTTTGCACGAGCCTCTGGACTAATACTGTCCCTTGGTTTTGTAGTCAGAGATTAATCCCTGTCTGTGAGGGAACAATGTGAGGTTTTGTCATTCCCCAGAAGTAGCGACCCCTCAGAAAGGCTTTCCTTTAGTCTTAAAAATAGCCTGATATATAATATGGATATTATGAAGCCCAGGATGGAGGAGAAACCCCCCAAATTATCATCAAAAGTGAGTTCTGGGAAAAATCATTTTGATGTTGCAATGTACACTGAGCAGATTCAACCCTGTCCTCTCGTTAGGTTACGGAGAAGCTGCAGCTCTTATGGTCAGCCTTGGTGTGACAGTTTTGCCACCATTTAGACGCTCTGGTGTAAGATAAGATTCCCAGAGAAGCTGTGGCTGCCCCTGGATCCCTGGAAGTGTCCAAGGCCAGGCTTGGAGCAGCCTGGGCTAGTGGAAGGTGTCCCTGCCCATGGCAGCGGATGGGTTTGAGTCCCTTCCCACCCAGACCATTCCATGATTCCAAGGTAGCAGAGAAACTGCAGCTTAAAGCCTTGAGAGTTAAAATCAGCTCAAGGTTCTATTTCCTGCAGTACTTATGATTTATGAATATTTGTCTTTAATTTCCAACGCTGAGCTAAATGGACAAGCCATGGCCCATGCAGTGACAATCAAAGGAGTGTTTCGCCTGCTGGAGGAAAGCTCCAGAGCCATTCCCCCAGCAAGGAAAGCCCTGACAGCCCTTCAGCCAACTCCCCAATTTCCACAGAGGATTTGCTGAATTGTGCTGCTATTAGAAGCCCTTTGCAGTCAGTAATTTGGGGTTATTTTTGCAGGAGAGGGGAGGGAACTGCCACATCTAGAACAGAGGAGCAGGGAAGTTCAAGCTTCAGAACCTCTTTTCTGGACTAATGCTGTCCCCAAACTCGTGTTCTGTTGGTCATGGGATAATTTAATGACCTTCTAACTCTGCTTTAGCACTCTGTGCATGTGCAGGGGTGTATGGAAGAGGGATGAGTTTTTTGGCCGCCTCTGTCTCAGCTTCAGCATCCATATTCCACATGGAATTAAACCACTCCTCTAGCCAAGCTGGAAATCAGAGAATAACAGACTTGTTTGGGTTGGAAATGACCTTAAAACCCATCTTGTCCCATGGGCAAGGGCACCTTCCACTATCCCAGGTTGCTCCTAGCCCTGTCCAACCTGGCCTTGGGCACTTCCAGGGATGGGCAGTCCTGAACTGATCTGATGCTGGAGCGCAGAATGTGAATATCCTGATCCCAGTGGGTTTGGAAGAACAGGAGCCCACAGCTCCTCAACTCTGCTTTGTTGTCTTTTGTCTCAGAAAACGTATTTATCTGTCATGATTTATCTGTCTCCTTTCTTACCCATGAGGAAATGGTTATCAATTAGAAGAGCTGGCATGAATTATAAATGATTATCCCTCTTTTAACAGCTGAAAGCAGCACTTAAATGTGAAGCTCTTGAATGCAGTGCTGGTTTCCTGGATGAAAGGCAGGAAAGTTCGCTCTGCTGCAAGCCCCAACTTGCTGGTTTTTTTTTCTTCCTCCCTCACCTCACTTAGTTCATTAATTCACACGGATCAGCTCTGGAATTCACTGCATTCCCTTAGTCCTGACTGTTCACCAAGTGTTATTTTCAAAAATAAGAATTCTTACTGATTCCCTAGCACAGGAAAGGTTGTTTTGAGCTTTTGGTTTATATAAAAGCAGATGATGAAGGGAAGAGCTTTGAATGCTAGAACTTTGTGAAGAAAACTTAGGGAAGGAGGAGATGGCAGGATGCGAGCAGGCGTGGAAGGGCTCCCTTGAATGGTTATTCAGGAATTTGTTCCCATTGCCTCTGGTTTTGCTAAAAA